ATTTAACAGCAAATACAGCTAACCTTGCTTTACCTGCCTCCCATTTTATTTTGTTGAATTAGAGAAACTGAGGGAAGCAGTTCTGTAACTCATTTACCCTTAGAGCCCTCTACAATCAACCCTATTTCCCTATCTTCCCACAGAGAGAAGCCTCCCTCTTCGTCTTCCAGCTTTTCTGTTTCAACCCACAGGGCCCTGTCTCCTTTCCCAGCCTCTCTCAGAGAGAAGAGGCTGCTCTGTGATGCTTCGCAGCCCAGCCTAACCTGCTCTTTAATTGGCTGGGAGAACCACAATTTAGAGACTCTCCACTCCTAACTGAACTTTTCAAGTCTCACCTTTTCTGACTCCCCTTTCGTTTCATGTTTCCCGGTGAAGGGCCACAGCCGCAGAGGAAGCACGGCACCACCTTCCCGAATTAAGAGCACTTCAGTAAAGTGGTTTCAGGAAAGGAAAGAGACACCACGCTGGCTAATCCCACTCACAGCAGGTGCTTTAGTGAAGCCCTCCTTTATTTAACAAGAGCCACACTCTCCCTCTATTGCTAAGAGATAGCACTTAAGCGTGTGGTACCATCCATTTTCTTCTGTTCAGGGATAAACTTTGGCACCCTGTCTATTTTTGCTGGAGTTTCCAAGGCCTCTAACTCTCCCCATTCACTCACTCCCTTACCTATCATTCCTTCCAGGCAAATAAAGAACTCTCTCTTCAGCATTTATGATGTGTGAATTTTTCACCCCCAAATCTGCTGTAGGCATATCCCCGTCTGCACAGCCTCACCTCTCCCTGACATTCCATCACCCAAATTCTAACTTAGAGTCTGTTTTCTGCGCACCAAACTTCTGGACCTGAACTGAGATTTGGTGGACCTTCACATGGCCATGTATCCTCTTTCCCTAACCCCACAGTGATTTCATTCCAAAATCAGGAACGCCTCTCATGTAGAATTTCAAGAGGTCCCTCTGGCAGCAGGGACCATATGACTCAAATGGCCCTTACCCATATTCTAAAAACATATATATAATATGTCACCATTCACATTATATATGGCACAGGAGTGGAATTCCCAAACTTCCCTTATTCACACAACAAACCACTGTGCTTAAAGCTGGCCACTCATTCGAGTCATTGGAGAGCTGTAAAATACTGATGCCTGGGCCTCCCACCCCTGAGAAATTCTGATTTATCTGGTCAGGTACAGGGCCCAGGCACTGGTATTTCTCAAAAGCTCCCCTGGTGATTTTAATGTACAGCCCAGCCTGACATCACTGTTCTCAAGGAAGTCATTTTATAAGTTGATCATGATGGATTAGCATGACCAAGTTCTCACTTAAGGTAGAAACTTAATAGAGAAAGTCCAAGGACATAAATTTTGGGATCTTCTAACTCTAACTTCTTCTTTTCTCCTTACTAGACTTGGGCAAACATTGAATGATAGAAAGAACAAGTTCAGCTCTAAATTCCATGGGGTCTAGATGGGTTTTTCCCTGCCAATCACAGAGCACAGCGCTTAGTACAAAGTAGGCATTCAAGAGGTATTCGTGGAATGGATAGGTTTTGCCATACAGTTACATTCTCCCAGGGTCTAGCTATGGCACGATAATGATGAGGCATCTTTGGGCCTTAACTACTTCAGGCTAGAGAGTGCTCACTGGGCCTTAACAAGCAGCACTAGGACTGGCACAATGGCTCACGTCTGTTATCCCAGCACTTTGGGAGGCTGAGGGGGGAGGATAGATTGAGGCCAGGAGTTTGAGACCAGTCTGCACAGCATAGGGAGACTCCATCTCTACAAAAATTACAATTAAAAAATGAGCCAGATGTGGCAATGCATGCCTATAGTCCTAGCTACTGAGGAGGCTGAGGTGGAAGGATTGGTTGAGCCCAGGGGTTCTAGGCTGCAGTGACCTATGATGCCACCACTGCAGTCCAGCCAGGGTGACAGAGTGAGACTCTGTCTCCAAAAATGAAAAAAAAAAAAAAAAAAAAAAAACATTTAAAAACAGACAATACCTCTCTCTTCCCAGCTAAACCCTAGATCCATTCACCTGCCAGTGCTCTAAGGAAATGGTTTTGATCTGCTCTATGTGAAATCTGTTGACTTGGCCCAACAGGCCTGGGCCTGATTAACAGGATGCTGAAAATGGTTTGGTTAATTTGCCGGGGAATGAGAAAGCGGACACCTTTACAGATTTCAAAAGATAATCTGAGAGCAAAGGTTCTTTCTGTCTTGGCTTCTACTAAGCACCCCACTGGAAACAATGGCTGCCCTCCTGCAGAGCTTCTCAGCAGGGGAGGGAGGTGTGCTCTCTTCCCCCACAGCTTCTACCCACAAGAGAGTCACTGTTCAGAGAAAACTTGCAGCAATCTGAAAGTTCATGGGCAACAGCATTCCCTAACACAAATACATACAGCACAAAACAGGAACAATACACATTCCACTGCAGTGGGGAGAAGATTTTTCTCCATTTTGAAACCAGCTTTGCAATTAGGTAAATTTAACAGTCTAGAGGACTATCATCTATCTTTCAAGTTATTCTTTTTTCTGGAAGTCAACAAAGTCAACCAACAAAATTATAGACTTCAGTTTTATTTTAGAGAAGTAAGGAAAAACAGAATTCACAAGTCTGGAATTCCTGTCCATCGTACACCTGTAACTTGGTACTAAGCATTCTTTATCTCTGAGAAAAGCAGAAAAAAAGACAGACATCAGATCTGGACCATAATTTTTGCAAATGAGTGAATGAATATATAAAGAATAATTTCAAGTTTTTAAATTTAAAATAATGTATGTTTATTGTACAAGAGAAAAGATATATGGCTTGATTTTGTTTATGGTACATTTGGTTGTTATTGGCATGATATTTATGGATAAAGTCAATTATTACATTACAGTAACCTAATTATAACATAGCGTCATTGCAATAATAGTTTCAGACCTTAGTCTGGAACTTAGTTAAACATATACGGAATTGCAGTTAAGTACATACATACTTATAGTTAGGTAGCTCTGGAATGTTTCCCATTGGTCATTTTAGATCATGAAGTTATAAGTTATCTTATCAGTTGACAAAGTTTCTTTGCTTGGCCAAACTTTAGTTAGGCTTCTGAATCTTCTCCTAGGTCCATCTGTACACGTCCTTGTAAAATCTAGTTTTAGCAAAGAACTCTGCTAAGTCAGTTAACAAGAATCCCTGGTAGAGGGTACTCAATATCTGATCACCTTCGATAGCTGATTGGGTTCCTCATCCTCCACCATCCCCCATGTGCTGTCTCATCCTCCTGGCCTTTCTTCAGCAAGAATCCTGGTAGGTCTTCAGTTTTGCCAGAATCCCCCTCCCCATTGATGTTTCCTCTTAGTACTTTTCTAACCACTGACCCCTGCCCTACTCCTTGGCTACAAATTCTCACTTGGCCATGCCATATTCACAGCTGAGCCCAATCTCTCCCCTAACTCCCCATATAGGTCCTTATACTTAACTCGATGGTCCTGAATAAAGTCTTACTTACCATGCTTTAACAAGTGTCATCGAATAATTTTTTTCTTTAACACAGTGCACTAAGTAGAAACTGTGTAATTATTTACATAATATACTGCAATACTATTAAGATAATTCTGTTAATATCAGACTTCAGTGGAGTGAACCAAACTAGCATCCTAAATATATGATTGAAACCTCCAAAATACTTGACTTACTCTCAAAGCATAGTTCATGTCAAGGAAGAATCTAATTCATCAATTATGCCTGAGATTTTATCATCAATTGTGGTGTTTCAGACTTGGTACTGAAGTACAGGAAAAATGTTCAGACATGTGAAATGTTTAATTCATTCAACTTATTCCACAGGCATCTATTAAGGACCAAGCACATACTACGGACCAAGCTCTGTGTTAAAGGAAGATTATTTTAAAATGAAGAGAACTCACAATTCAGCAAAAGAAACAGACATGTGGGCAAATGTCATTTCACTACAGAGATGTAACAAGGACTCCATAAGACATCGAAGGAAAGTGCTGACAGGGTACAGGAAGGAAACTCTAGCCTCTTCCTCAAAGTGTCAGGGGACGCTTCTCAGAGGAGGCAACACTAGCACTTGGTCTTAAAGAATAAGCAGCGCATGGACTGGCTGGAGTCAGCTCTTCCAGAATGGTCTTCTAACTCCAGCAAGCAAGTTCAGGGGCTTGGCTGGAGGATGTTCACCTTGGGAAGGATGCCTCAGAATCTTGGGGCTTAGGCAAGTGAGGGGTGGCAGGTGGTGGCATAGTTAGAAAATTCAGAGGTAGCATGCCTGCTCTTTTGTGGTAAAAACAACAGGCTGGGGGCATCGTGTGAGCTTCTGGGGATACACAAAAAGATACAGTGATCAAGCCCAGTAGGAAGCATGGGTTAATGGTTGAAAACTGAGTCCCAGAGAAACCTCCATTTTCTTCTGACATTAATTGGCAGTGGAAGAGGTTTCCAAATCCCTCTCTGTGCATTTGCATAGTAAAAAGCTGCTGAGCTGAGCCCTATGCTAGGGAAGCTCATTCTTCAATGTGACTTCCAAAGGCACAGCCTTGCATCTCACCGTCTGTGACCTCATTTGCAGGCATATAGAACAGGGGAGTGATTTCAAAGCCTAAACCTTGCTGCCTAGAATCTGTCTTAACTATTTCTAATCACCAACTAAAACGTACCGGTTTGAAAGAATATAAGAGCCCAAACCACCATGAATGTTTTTTACCCCAGGAAAGCATCTTCCCAAAGGATGCAGCATGAATTTCTATGTGCATAGTTTAAGTGGCAATATGCAGAAAAGCCTATGAATGCAAATCTTTTTTTTTAATTTAAAAAATCAACATGTAGCCTATGCGTCATGTGAACATTAGTTAAAAAACGTGTTTCTCACAAATTCATCAGCGTATGACTATGAACATTTTTAAGTTGTTTTTTTTTTCCATCCAGGTGTGACAGAGGATAATCCAAAACACACGTGCAAAGGTACAGACAACAGCACCTTACCGTTAAAACTCGGGTGACACTCTGCTTCCAGAGCTGTCTCCTGCCAATCCTAAACATTGTAGCAGTACAGGGACAGGCTGGAGTCAGTTGTTCTGGAATGGTCTTCTAACTCCCGGGAGACCTGCTCAACACCCAACAGGCTTCCAAATGGAAAGTCTTCTGGAGGACCAGCATTTTCCTTCACGTTTCTAATTTGCATGTATTATTCACTGCATTCACAGAATAAAAATTAAAACTCCACTTATACCACTCAAGTTTTTCTCCCAGAGTCTCTGCCCTGGGGCCTCTCCTCTCTCTCGAAGCCTGGTGTTGTTAGGGTAATACTGTTTATGCACTATACAGTTGAACCGTGCCTCTTAATCATGTTTATCAACCAATCAAAGCATTTTAACAGCTCGGTAGCAACACAACTCCTTCTGTTGTTCAATTAATTCTGTACACTAGCCAACAATAAGCATTGGGTCAACAGAGATATCTAAAGAGTTTCTTTGAACAATGAGAAACTTTAAACCACATCAAATTAGAAATCCAAGAAGCCACAGCTCTGAATATATTGTCCACCTCGACAAACTCAGTCTTACTTTGTCTAAACAACTTTGCAAGCACGATGCACGGCCAGCATTGTGACTAATTGTGACTAATTGCCAGATAGGCTAATTGTGACCCAAAGGAGCCATTTTCTCCCCCATAAAGAACAAGAAGTCTATTTCATATGCAAATAGCAAACCATGTCCATAAATTACTTGTGCTCACACAGTTGCACATACACTTCAGCCAAGATAATTTATCCTATGTGGCTCAACATCTTGATCATCCTAACTGTGAAGACATAACGGGAAAACACTGCCAAACGCTTTGAGAGTTCTCTCATGGATGGTTTCTCCCATCGAGATGAATAAAAGGCAGAACATTTAAGGTTGGTCTTGCTGAATCTAGAATTTAGTCCTTGGAATTCACGGTCCAGCAACTCAGATCCTAAAAGGTCATCTAAGAATAATCAGGAAATCGGGAACTCATCCTGGTGACATCCTGCTAGTCAACCTCTGTGGAGCCTGACTCAGAAGCCAGGGTGCTGACATGGTATCAGAACATGGAGATTCGCCTGGTCGATATCCAAGGCTAGGGTGTGGCCTCCATATGTCAGGTTAACAGACAACATTTAGACCTCAATATTATTTAGTAAGTAAATAACTAGAACACAGGAAGTTCAAGTTTGTTTGCAGGATTTTTTTCTTTTTTTTTTTTTTTTGAGACCAGCAGGTCTCACTCTGTCACACAGGCTGGAGTGCAGTGGCATGACCACCGCTCACCACAACCTCAACCTCCCAGGCTCAGGTGATCCTCCTACCTCAGCCTTCCTAGTAAGTGGGACTACAGGCAAGTGTCACAACACCTGGCTAGTTTTTGTATTTTTTGTAGAGACAGTTTTGGCCATGTTGCCGAGGCTGGTCTCAAACTCTTGGCCTCAAGCAATTGCCCACCTTGGCCTCCCAAAGTGCTGGGATTATAGGCATGAGCCACCAGGCCAGGCCCTGCAGGATATTTCTTGAAGTCAATCTCTGGTTGTTGGTAAGCGGCTGTTGTCCGTTTCTAATAAAGAGCGTTGAAGATGGTATCTAGACTCTGAGTCCCTCCTCTGTGTGGCGCGGAAGACAGCAGAAAATAGCAGTAGGATTGGATCCTCTTCACATGGCATCTCCTATCCAACCCAAGATTCCTCTGTCAACACATGACCTCAGGACAAACATGTTACAAGTCATTACATCACTGATTATCTTTCATTAGTTACATTTAAATTGGTGCTTTCCTAACGGTATTTCGGGCACCATCCTCATTGCAGCAGCAGCCCATTTACAACGCATCGCTTGGGGAGAGTGACTTCCTGGGAAGATTTCCACAGAAGGCTGATGGCATGCATTTTGTGTTTGGCAGGCATAACCATGACTCTCTTGAGGCTTCACAGCAAACTGCGAAGCCTTCCAGTCTGCGTGGCTGAATTTCAACCCCTCGGGCAAGGTAGATGGTGTGTTAAGGGTCTTCTTGAGAGTCTCAGGCTCACTGGAAGTTGTTGAACAACATAAAGCAAAGCCAAGGCTGAATTTACAACAGGCCACCTACCCCCACCCAGTCCCTGGCAGAACGAAAGTCAATTTCTGGTATTTGGAGGGAAATGATCAAACATTGTTCAGCAGGAAAGTCAGGAAGGTTTGCCTGCAAATAGTTCCCACCAGGCAACAGCTTCAGCTGGCAGAGCTCTATATATAGGACTCACGCGAGGGAGGTCTGCAGCCCCGTCTGTGTGGATAGTGCATCCTTCCAGGCTGAAAATATTAGTCATACACAAATCCTGTCAGACACAACAGGGAAACAAGAGTAGACAATGGACCTCATGTAGGCAGAAGGCTTCATCCAGAATTCCAAGTACCTGCGGGCAAAGTTTGAAGTTCCACTTTCATTCATTGAACAAAAGCTTGTGAGTGCCTTTTAAGGAGCCAGACACTGCGCTATACACTATGAACAGAACAGCTAATAAAAACAGACGTTTACTCAGACATTTAAAAATATTAGTTGTAGAATGCATAATTATCCCATGCAACACTCAGAATGAAAAAATAATGCTGCCTATTAAACGTATCCATTTTAAGGTTCATTCTGATTTCACAGATGTTAAAGTACATCTTTATGTACTTTATAAATGTACACCTCATAATAAAAAAAAATGGTCATTCTTGCCTTTACTGGGGGCAGATATTAAGCAAATATATAAATAAATGTATAATTACAAGTTAAATGCTACAAATTTTGGTAAGTGTCATTTTAAAAGAAAATAAGGCATAAGTTTTATTTGGACATATGTTCTGAATTGTTACCTTTATGCTTACGTTCCAAAGTGTAAAATTTTCTAAACTCATCTCTAAATTATGGAGTCTTTTACTCTGCATCTTGAAGCCTCATATGTACATCCTGTGCCATATAGCTTAATAGAAAAGTGCAACTCTAGGGTCAGACAGACCGAACTTAAATCCCAGCTATGTGACACCAGAGATTGTGTCTCCTAAATTAGACGTTAGAAATAAAATCACTTACCTAACAGACTAGTAATGATTTAAATATATTTAAAACTCCTAGATCCTCATAGGTACCTATTAAATGAAATATATAACC